TGTGTTGTATACCTACAATGTACCAATAAAAGAATTTAATAAAAAAAAAAAAGAAAAGTTACTTAAAACTTGGAACATTTTCACTGATAAATGATTAAATGTCTACAATGCAAAGTGAAAGAATCAAAGGTGGTCAAACAGAAATTATTATCATGACTGAACCCAAACATAAATGGTTATTTCAAAAATTTAACTGTTTTGTTCTTTCCTTTTCTATTATGAATATAAAACTTCCTCATAATACAAAAGAAAATCAATTCCATAGATTCACCTTTAGAAGTGGAGTTATATGAAAAAACAGAAACACCTGAGGAATTACAGAAGGAATAAAAGCTATTTAGGTTATTTTACATTATCAATTAAGTATAAACAAATAAAAATAAAATTATAAACTTTTATTTGATACCAACATACTCAGAACCTCACTCTTTCCAACTGCTAGTATAAGTCATTAGTAAGGAAAGTCACTCTTTCACAAACCCTAAGTACTGTGGAGCATTGTGCCTTCCAAAAGATGAAGTCCTAAATACAAAAACACTCTAAGGGGAATTATTGAGGTTCCTCAATGTAAAATATTCTTAACAAAAACATTCCCTTCTGATGCTTTCTGTATTTGCTAGATGTTCACCCACTTTAAAACACTCCTTCTACCACCCTACCCTATTGTCTTCCCCACTCAAATTCTTCCATAGGAAAATTATTGATGAACATTCATGTGACAATATCAGATTGCCTTTGTAAGATGAGATATTTCAAAAATCACAAATATTTAAAAGTTATTCCTTCAATTATATTAAAATTAACACAAAAATAAACCATTTCTGAGAATGACTTAACAATAACACTAATTAAAGAAAGAATACTACCAAATGCCTATTCCAATGCAATGTGTTTTTTTCCATCTCATTCAATTAAAAAACTAAAAGATTCTGGGGAAATTTGTCTTACCTTGGGTTTAAAACTAAGACTCTCTCCTATATTTTCCCTGTGACCACTTAACATGTGCATATTAAACTTGTTTATGACAAAATTCAGAGCAAAATGACATATTTCAAGTACTTTCCCTCCACTTAGAACCCTCACACCTGAAAAAAGACAACTTGAGTTCTACAATGTTTTTGATGATCTTAGAATCTCTTTCATAACTACATGCTACAAAGCTTCCCAGAAGCTAAGCCACACACAGCAATACTAACACTTTTTTGATTAGTGTGTGGTTAGTGTGTTAACTACATTACTGAGATTGATCTACTAATTTGCACCATAATTCTACAGAGTACAGTCCTACTATAATCTCCACATTACAAAACACGGAACTAGGAAGCAGAGAAGGTTAAAGAGCTTGCCCAAGATCACTAGTGGCACTGGGATTGGAAACACAGCCTGGCTGACACAGCCTTCAGACTCACTTCATTCTACCACCTAACATCAAGTGCGTGAGGCCTAAACACAGGCAGAATACAACGCCTTTCTCCTTTTTCCTACACAAAGTATATAAAAACCTGAACCAAAAAAGAATCATAGGAACAAAAAAGCTAAGCTCCCTCGTCCATCTTATTAGTACTGAGTTTTACTTTTATATAAACCTCAATCTAACTTGATTCGGAAAAGATTCCTTAAAATGTTCTTTTAAAAATAAAAAGTTATATATTTTTCTTTTTAATCAACCTGTACTGAGACAATATGTTTTCTTTATTAACATACCAAGTGAACACAATCAGTTTCCTCAGCATTCCTAATTCTTAAGGTCTTCTGATTTTTTTGTACCTTTTTGTTGTTGCTTTTGTTCCATCTCAACTGTTACAGAGATATTACTCATATTCAAACAGGGCTGCTGTTAAGGACTTAAGAGAAATCTGTTCATTTAATCACCCACTGGAGGCCAGTATGCTTACTTACCCCAGAACAGGGGGCTCCCACTGTGGGCCTGCCCTATGCTGCCGCATCAGTTCCTGGCCAAGGGTGGGTCAACAGCCTCACACTGTCCATCACAGCTGCTCCCTGTCCTTCATCTTGTCCACAGGTGGGACCACAGGTGGGAGATAGGCTACACAGAGGCGCTCTTTCCAGACAACAGAAAGTCAGCCCTCTCTCATCCCCTTGGTCACAGCAAGGCCTCTTGGACACATGGTTCACACAGGGCCACATTTACAAACTTACATTTAAATAATTAAACCAACAGCAACAATAAAGCATTTATTACTAGAAGACTAGTAAGGAAAATATGGTTGTTGGGTTTTGTACCCAAAAGTCTTTAGATACTTTCTTTTCACATTATGCAGAGCACACTGTAAAAATTTCTGATGGGCCGGGGATTTAGCTCAGTGTTTCTGCTGCCTGCCTTGCAAGTGCAAGGTCCCAAGTTCGATCCCTGGTACCAAAAAAAAAATTGTTATAATTACTGATTTGTGTCTCTAATATGTCATATATCATATTGAAAATTTACTACCTACTGTAAGGAATTATGTACAATTCTAACTCTTTGTTCTGGAAGAGTTTTTATGGTATTGTTTTGGGTAAACATACTACGTGGAGTAAGAATTTTATTAAACAAATCCATACTTTATAAATCATATATAAAAGAGAAGGGCCAAGAGATAAATAGGAGGAGAATAAACAGAATTAGCCAAGGAAGAAGACCATCTGTGATAGTTGCATGTGGAAAGAGCATTTGCTTTACGAATGTCATTTGGTCTCTTACAAATGAGCAAACATTCCAAAAAGAGGTGTGTTTCAACCTTTTGCCCACTGTAAGAAGCATGTACATACATTGAAAGAAATATTTCAAAAGCCATTACTTACTCATACTAATTACAGTGTATTCTGATTTTTTAAATGCTGGTGATGACATGTTAAATTTATTTCATACCTCAATAGTGACTCACATCTACTATTTGAAGACCTTTGTTCTAAGAGAATCACAACATGTCAGAATACAGAAAGACAAAGTTGCTAAACTTGACAATTTTGATAGATTAAGTCACACTTTAGTAGCATTTTAGGGTGATCTGAAACAAAAGTCAAACATACAAAAAAGTTTCAAGTAATATCTGCCTTAAGAATAAGTTTCAAATTAAAAGGAGAGGAAAGGGAGCAAACAAGGAAAAATAAATACTCAAGATATTGCAACAAACCCATGGGGCTGTCATCTCCATCTCACAGACTGTGACTGTTAAACCCTTACTGACAACTGGAACAAACTGTCCACGCTCCAGGATTCTCGACCTACTCTGCTCCTAAACCTGACCTCTGCCAAGTGTGAGACAAGCTCGATGAAGAGATGGTCTACAGCTTGGCACCAGCGCCACTGCGGCTGGCTTTCTACCTGGAACAATCCAAACCCAGGCCAGAGAAAGGCCTCCCACCCTTGCCAGAAGCTAAACTGGGGATATGAGTAGGCAACCTCATGGGACAGAAAGAAGAATATTCTAAAAATCTCAGCAAATATTAGCCAGACATTTTTTCTCGATCATTGTCTAAAAATACTGACACACCAAAGTAAGGAGAATATTGATTACTGATAACTGAAGAGGACTATAATCAGAGAAAAAAAAGAAAAGTAAGGAAGAGATAACTTCATAGTAAGTGGTGTTCATCCTTCAGAAATGGTCAAGTTGGGTGGGGTGGTGCACACCTATAATGCTAGCACTCAGGAGGCTGAGGCAGGAGGACCGCTGCCCTGCCCGGGGAGGTGGGGGTGGGGGATATCAAATATTTTCTGACTAGTAGAACTGTCACTAGAGTAAGATTTATTATATTGATAAGAAAACTAAAAATCCATTCCAACTCTGAAAATATATAAATTTAAATAGCTAGATGCTCCTCTGTGTAACCACAGAAGGCATCCTGATATCAAGAAACATGGCAAAGATAATATACCTCCCTTTCCAAATCAACGAAGACAAAAATTAAATGTTTTTTAAATGAAAATGATTTTATAGGCATGTCCAATTGTCAACATTAAAATTATACATATTGACTATGTACAGTATGTTGTCATATTAATTTTGCCTCAATAAAGCTAAAAGATACTAATCTCCCATTATGTAAACAAGCTGCATCATTACAGTGAACAAAAAGATAAATATATTAATTTCACCTCAATATTTCCTATTTTTCTCTATTAAACTTACTTTTCCCTTGTAGTTATTTTACTGTATTCCTCTCATTTTCCTAAATCACACAGCACTGAAAAACATAGTAACCAAGCTTTAATGATACTGAGGTTTTCTGCTGCTATTCAAATGACCCATTACTATACTCTGGAATGTACCTTTCCTTTAAATGACTTAAATCACAGTCTGAAAAATTCCTTAATGATTTCATTTCCTTTTCCCCAGTTAGTTAAGGAAATTCATTTCTAGGCCACAACTATCTCCATGCTACCTTTCAGAGTTCAGAATTAATTTTTTTCCTTCATTCCTTATCACATCGCTACCAGAAATAAATCAATAACTACCAAGGGACAGGATGGAAAAACCATGAAGTTACTCACATCGGATTTAGAGGACATATTCTCTTCCACATCTGAATCGTTAGGATCCACGATATCATCAAAAGGTGGCAAAGTTGGTTTCTTCTTCTCTGATACCTCACCTTCAATTTTGACCCTTCCCATCTTGACATGAGATTTATCTTTTATCTGTTTTTTATCAGGAGAACAAGTGAGTATCAGTGGTGTCGTGCTAGAAAAACTTTTAAATAAAGCCTCTGAGCTACTCTTTTTCCTTTTTTTGGCTGAGAGTTCATCAGAATCTGAAATAGGGGGCCTTTTACTAGGAGCCTTCTTATCTTGCTGTCCACTAGTGATGGTGAGTAAGTTACTATCTGGTTTTGGCTCTTTTGACATGGGTTTAGGTTCCTTGAAGGCCATTTTAGGA